CGTAGTAATGGTCAACCAAATTGGTTATAACCAATATGTTAGTGATATACAGTAGATTGTGTTATAACTTATAAGTATGTATACCTTCGACACATTTGGGCGTAAGTCCTGTCCATTTGCCGAAATGGCATTCCGTGAGGTTCGGGCCCTCGATTATGAAGCCATCCCTACACCGGTATAAGGCTTTCATCCCGTGGTCGGTCTTCGGCGCGATTACCAAACCGTTTTTAGGCTTCTCTGGCATTACTTTACACCGGGCTATACATAGCAACACAAATATATTGCAATACAATTAGCGATACAATTCATACACAGAGACATATGCCGTCTGATGGGCACAGACACAGACCGGGAACACAATGAGGCACATGAGTCCAGGAGCTGTTGTTACAGATGGCTTCGGTGGTGTTGTAGTGAAGCTCGTACTGTGGCTTACAGTCAACTTTGATGACCTGCCCGTGCGATACCATCTGATTGACGGGAAACAGATTGACGCGTCCGTTCTCCACCTCCGGCACCAAACACGGCCCTAAAGGACATACATTTAACACATTATCATTAGTTTTTACTACAAAACCAATTACTAATAACAGAACTGCTGTTAATTATCAATGATAATTTATCATTTCATTATTTTTACAAAAATGTAATGCTTTACTGTTTTACACACTTGTTATTCTTGGTAAAGATTTCATGCAGATATCAATGAAGGTACAGTTATTTAATATTTTTACAATGCTTTGTATACAGTGTACAGTTTTTTTAACAACGTATTATGTATTAGTGAACATACCGTAGCAATTGGGCAAAGGGTTAGACCAGTTCCCGGTGTCCAAACACGTGGTAGAGTTACTATCACCCGAAAAGGTCATACCATCGAAACACTTGAAAAATACGGTCGAACCCAGTATTGTTCGCCGCACTTCCAGATATCCGTTATGTATTATACCGGGCGAACCACAGTCTATCTCTGTTTTAAGTAATGTTATCAACAAATTTATTATAATTTTTTTTAATTAATAATTTATTAATTGATAGTCTATAATATAGTTTAGTTATATAAATAGATTCAATATTCTATTATATTTTGACTTTAATTTACCACATATATTATACATTATGTATATGTATTTTAAATATTGAGTATCTTTTGGGACTGCTTTTTTAGTACACTAAACATACAGTAATTATCGTTCACTACAAACCTCTTTGCAATTAAATATTTATTATTTATTTTGGAAATATCTTTAAGTATACTTCAAATGTCAAAAGCTTTCCATTGAATTTCTCTCCTCTTTATACTTATTAAGAGTAAAAATGTTTATTTTGATGAAACATTTGCCCGTATATGCCAAAAATATATTACATTTATTGTACAAAAATTAATTATTATATGATTTTATGCTTATTATACAAATATTTTCTTGACAAACACTATTGTATATACCATTTGCCGAAAATTTGTATAATATATTATATACTATAGATTATATATACAACATATTTATATATTATATTTATATATAAAAGTTTCTGTCATTAAATTAGAGATAAAAGCGTTTCTTTAATGAAAAGGACAAGAATTTGCTTAAATTGAATGAATATATAGTGGAGTGAAATGTGAACAAAGTTTTTGGCTCTAAATTCCGCACAACATCTCAATAGTAATGCCATTAATTCAGTACATAGTTGTCCATAATATGCCTTAATATACCAGAAATACAAAACACATACACATTAACTATAAATATGAATACATATATTTATGTAAATAATGAATATAATTTCTCTTAATTTATGGTAAATTCATTTTAATATTTATTATTCATTTATTAGAGAGATTAGTATAATTACGGTCTCTTTGGGACAAAGTTTTTTTTATTGTTAATCAAATATAACTTTTGTATTTTATTTTTATTACCTATATTCTAATAAATGCGCTTAAATATAATACTACAAGTCTTATGTAAGTCCCTAAGAAATACACAGCATTTTATAAATATTAAATTAATATTCAATGAGAAACTTATAAATCATAGATTAGGTATCATTTCCACATATCTATAGCTTATAAGGAAAATATTATAATAATCTTTTTAGGCACATATTTAGTAAGAAAAAAAGTAAAACAAAGCATATATGAGAGAAAAATGTGGTAAAAAACAAAATAACGGCAAAAGAATTCATTTAATTAATTATAAGTATATATAACTCACATGTTTTTTATGTTCATTTTGTGCCGGAATTATCTTCTTCTTCTTCGTTCATCTCTTTATTTAATAAACAACTCAATCACTAAACCTGTCATTAACTCTACACTTGAAATCAATTATTAATTTTTTGTATTAAATATTCATTTTGAGTGTTTTATCTCATATTTTTGTAAAGTTTTAATGAAAAGCTTACGATATTTTTGCCTAAAAAGATTATTATAATATTTTCTTTCTAAGCTATAGATATGAGCAAATGATACCTAATCTATGATTTATAAGTTTCTCATTGGATATTAATTTAATATTAATAAAATGCTGTGTATTTCTTAGGGACTTACATAAGACTAGTAGTATTATATTTAAGCACATTTATTATAATATAGGTAACAGAAACAAAATACAAAAAGTATATTTGATTAACAATAAAAAAAACTTTGTCCCAAAGAGACCGTAATTATACATATCTCTCTAATAATTGAATAATTAATATTAAAATGAATTTACCATAAATTAAGAGACATTTTATTCATTATTTACATAAATATATGTATTCATATCCATAGTTAATGTGTATGTGTTTTGTATTTCTGGTATATTAAGGCATATTATGGACAACTATTTACTGAATTAATGGCATTACTATTAAGATGTTGTGCGGAATTTAGAGCCAAAAACTTTGTTCACATTTCACTCCACTATATATGCATTCAATTTAAGCAAATTCTTGTCCTTTTCATTAAAGAAACGCTTTTATCTCTAATTTAATGACAGAAACTTTTATATATAAATATGCTGTTTATATAATCTATATATTTAGTATATAATATATTATATATATTTTCGGCACATGGTATATACAATAGTGGTTGTTAAGAAATTTTTGTATAATAAGCACAAAATCATACAATAATTAATTTTTGTACAATAAATGTAATATATTTTTGTCATTTAAGGGTAAAATGTTTCATCAAAATAAACATTTTTACTTTTAATAAGTATAAAGAGGAGAGAAATTCAATGGAAAGCTCTTGACATTTGAAGTATACTTAAAGATATTTCCAAAATAAATAATAAATATTTAATTGCAAATATGTTTGTAGTAAATGATAATTACTGTATGTTTAGTGTATTAAAAAAGGAGTCCCGAAAGTTACATACATTCACAATATTTTGAAAAATATATACTGTATAAAATATAAAATAAAATATTGAATCTATTGGTATAACTAAACTATATTATTATTAAATTATTAATAAAAACATTATAATAAATTTGTTGATTACATTGCGTAAAACAGAGATAGACTGTGGTTCGCCCGGTATAATACATAACGGATATCTGGAAGTGCGGCGAACAATACTGGGTTCGACCGTATTTTTCAAGTGTTTCGATGGTATGACCTTTTCGGGCGACAGTAACTCTACCACGTGTTTGGACACCGGGAACTGGTCTAACCCTTTGCCCAATTGCTACGGTTTGTTCACTAATACATAATAGATCCAATAAAATGGTGTTAAACAACTGTACATTATAACTAACAAAGCATTGCAAACATATTAAATTACTGTACTATTGGGTAAAATAGTAGGGCATTACATTTTTGTGATTATAATGAAATGATAATTAACAGCAATTCTGTTATTAATAATTGGTTTTGTTGTAAAAAACGGCTAATAATGTGCTAAATGTATGTTCTTTAGGGCCGTGTTTGGTGCCGGAGGTGGAGAACGGACGCGTCAATCTGTTTCCCGTCAATCAGATGGTATCGCACGGGCAGGTCATCAAAGTTGACTGTAAGCCACAGTACGAGCTCCACTACAACACCACCGAAGCCATCTGTAACAACAGCTCCTGGACTCATGTGCCTCATTGTGTTCCCGGTCTGTGTCTGTGCCCATCAAACCGATGCATTTGTTTATGTGTCTGAAAGTGTATCACTAATTGTATCGCAATATATTTGTGTTGCAATGTATAGCCCGGTGTAAAGTAATGCCAGAGAAGCCTAAAAACGGTTTGGTAATCGCGCCGAAGACCGACCACGGGATGAAAGCCTTATACCGATGTAGGGATGGCTTCATAATCGAGGGCCCGAACCTCACGGAATGCCATTTCGGCAAATGGACAGGACTTACGCCCAAATGTGTCGAAGGTATACACACTTATAACACTATTATTTCTATCACTAACATCTTGGTTATAATAAATTTTGTTGACCATTACTACT